CTCCCCTGTACAATCCGGCGTAATGAATGCCGTTTTGTGTTTCGAGTTTTCAGATAAGGGCAATTGTAGAAACCCGTGCGCCATGTCTAGTGTTGTAAATAACTCGTTTCCACTTAAATTTTCCACTTGTTCATCGATTGTTGCCACAGGAAAATTTGTTTTAACAGTTTGTTTATTTAATTTACGGTAGTCTACCACTAAACGCGGTTCGCCCGATTTTTTATGCACTAGTAAAACCGGACTCGCGTAGGCAGATGTTGTTTCCTTAGCAATTCCGGTTTTCTTCCACTCATCCACAATTTGAGAGATAATTTTCCTCTCTTTCATACTGGCTCGATATGGTTTGCAGCGTACTGGCACGTTGTTATCCTCGATGGTCATCTCCATTACATTTGTACAGCCTAATTCTTGTAAGTTAAATGCGAAACAATGTCGGAATTCCTTGCACAAATCCACCAATTCTGCAGTTACTTCCGGTGTTACATCTTCGTCAATATTAAGCATTTCTGCTGTAATCTCAACTGTATCTGTGTCCGTAAACAGCTCCTCCAATTCTTCTCCTTTGTTTTCTATAACTCCCACTACAGCTCCTTCGTTTATTTTTACTCGATTGTTAGTTGGATTAGCGATTGGTACCGATACGATTTCCTCGCCGCAATGGACGTCGATGTAATTAACACTGTTTGCTGCTACTTCGTTTTCCTTCACGCTTCGCAATTTCACTCGATTTGAAGTTTCCTCTACTATTTGCAAGTTCTTAAAAGGATCACTGTTTCGATTACCAAAGATTAATCGGTCACCGACCTTCGCGTATGCTATGTGCTCTAGTTCTGTGAATGACCTTCCAATGATAATGTCTAGACTCTGCACGTTATTTGGCACCACATAAAATTTAATTCTTTCCGCGGTTACATTGTCCACTTTTACATCCGTTTCTATATATTCTTCACAAATTATTGCTGCTGCATTTCCAAAACCATATAGTTCTTGACGTTCGCGTTTTACATTTTTCTTATCGACCACTGCATTTTCTTTAATTGTGCACACTGAACTGCCAGGGTCAATAAGCGCTTCTATTCTTACTCCGTTTACTTCAACTACGCGTAGGAATTTGTCGATGTTGTTACCACTAGTTGATCCCGGTGATGCAATTATGAGTTGCTGCTGCGCCTCGGTTTTGTTTCTCAAAGGGCACTGTGCATGCCTATGCCCGCTTTGTTTACACTTGAAGCAAAGCTCAACGCCTTGGGGCCTGGGGCACTTAGAAGCATAATGGCCTATTTCCGTACAATTGTAACATTTTATTGTCTGTTCGGTAGTTTTCACTTTTGTATTGTCCTGGTTCACGTCACGTTTTTGAAAACTCGCTGTTTTCCCTGAATCCGCGGTCCACTTCGCATGCCTCGGTGGTTCTCGAGGCGATTCTGCGCTGAATCCATAACCCGATACACGATAAAGCGTTATTACATCATGTAAAAAATCGTCAATGTTCGCGTGTTCTTTCACTAAAAGTCCCGGTATCACATGTTTTCGCGATAAGCCCGTTGCGATTTGCTCTTTTGTTTCCCGAAATGATAGTTTAAGTTGTGAGCACAATTTGTGTTTTTCGTGGAAATACGTCTCCACACTTTCCTTTGATTGTTGGACTCTCCTTGTCATGTGTTTCCATTTTTCTGTGAGGCTCTCTTCCATTACGAATGTTGCTCGGAATTTTGTCTCAAAGTCTGACCAGTTCTTGATCTGCGCCCGCCTCGTCCGATGCCAATCACGAGCTCCACCGTATAGGTGAATTCTAGCGGTCTCTAACTTAAATTCTTCTGGCCATTTGTGTAATAAAGCGCAACTATTTATTGTGTCGATCCATTCCTCGGCTTGTATTCCACAGCTACCCCCGAAGTCTCCGATCGTTTTGTTTAAATCTGGCATAATATGGTAAACGTTGTCCCTTGGTCCCGTGTGTAATGCTTGCGCCTGTGCTTGGTTATTCCCCATTACTGATAGTAGCTGGGTCATAGTCGCCATTTGTTGGATCATTAATTGCGTTAAGTCAGGGTTACTGGAATCTGGGAATACAGTATTTATACTCTCGTTAACCGCATTTTCCCCACGTGATCCCGTCACTTGTCCCAACTCTTCCACATACGCGTCCTCGTTGTCACCATCACCCGCCATCTTCTTTTCTTTTTCTCGCAATCACACAGCAAAAGCGAAAGAAAATTTCACGATTTCTAGAGACGTTCTTGAGTTATAATTATTCCACTTCTGATAATGTTGTCGCCAGGGGACAAATAATTAATACACACGCCAGTATCAGGATTTAATATTTCATTGACTACGATTTACGAAACGAACTACAATAATTGGCCAGCACACACTCTCACAGAATCGCCGCTTCCCTCTCCCCTGCGCCATCTATCTTCCCTGGTGCCAACAGAAGTCTTGGCGACAACCTGTCGGCGATAACAAGAAATTATATTCTACTATTTAGGTTTACGTCACCAAAACTGCGAATGTCGAGAATACGTAGTATGATTTTACCTCAAGGTTGAGAAAAGCAAGGTTGCACATTTCAACTTCCCAAGGGTTTTGAGGTACGACTAGCGTAATTGTTGGATGTTAAACGAATCAAAAAAGTT